TAGAGATTCTGAATTCAGCAAGTACACAGGTCACACCAAAAAAAAAAAAAATGCTAAAAAGAGAAATGGAGATTTACGTATCATAGGAACTTAAAGAAGTAATTTCATGTAGCTGGAAAGGATCAGAATAGTTTTGCAGTCTCCAAAGAATACACCAAGCAGGAGGGCTGGGTCAGAGGAGACAAAGGGGCCATAGCAGTAAAGCAGACCATGACCAGAGTAGACGCAGCGGGCGTTGGGGGAGTAGGAGGAGTCTTTAAGGCTGTACTGTGGATTCAGTCCTAAAACCAGTGAGTCTCTAAGTTGGGGGTTTATCAGAATCATCTGAGTTTCTTGCTATAAATGCAGACTCCTGGGTCTTACCCACTAGAGATTCTGAATTCAGCAAGTCTTGAGGGCAGGGAGCCCTTGTGGAAAGCGGAGGAGGAAGGACTGAGCTAGAGAGAGCAGTTGGGAAGCTACAGTAACTGTTTTGGTGAAAGGTGGTGAAGACCCCCGAGACCTAGGCCTGTGACAGTGCAGAGAGGGCAGCGACAGTTTAAATCCAGGGCTTGGCCTGTAGGCACCTCTCGAGACGACGCCAGCAAGAGAAGACAGGAGTGGCCCCAGCTAACCTGAGTGCAGGCTCTCTGAGGCACACATTCGTGATTCGCCAGGTTTGGGTTTGTATCCTAATGAAAACGCCTTGCCTTTTTTTACTATTGAGAACTAAAGGAGTCACAGATTATGCTTTATATGTTGCTGGTTTCAAGGATGATCATTTTTGTGTGTCCCATTACATTTTGGATTTTCATCTTCCTCCTAGATATTATATTTATATTGTGACATACTGAGACGCTGAGTATCATGAGGTTCAGGGAGAACAGCTGTGACCTGCAGGGGGCGATACATTGCACTCTGCTTTTCCTAGCCATTTGCTGCCAGCTTAGGGACTGATTGAATATGGGGGCTGAAAAAAAGGATAACAAGGATGTGGGTGGTATAAGTGTTAACAAAGGGAAGACGTTTGGGGAAGGGTAGAGACCAGAACTTGGCTTCTCTGTGTTTGAAAAGTTTATGAGTAGGGGCTAGCAGTTGGCATAATGGCTATGTCACTAGACTCCCATGTAGCCAACCGTGGTTCGCGTTCCAGACCCAGTCGCTTAAACTCACACCAGGCACGTGTGCGTGTGTGCCCAAGATCCCGAGAGGAGAATGGAGGAGAAGGGATTGTGGCGTGGCCATCCCCCCTGAGGGGTGATTTCTCACTTTCTGTCTCTCTGTCTCTCTCTGTTTCTCTGGTGAGCTCACCAGCCCTATAGCAAAAAAATACCCCTCTCAAAAAAAAAAAAAAACCAGAAAGAAAAGAAAAGTTTATGAGCACTCCAGCTGGAAGTTTAAGTAGACAGTAAAGAATACTGGGTTTCAGAGGAGAGGCAGATTGGGAGATGTTGACTTGAATTCAGCGTATGAGTGGTATGGTGGCCTATGGGTGTCATCTGCTGGAACTTGACAGAGAAGGGAGCCAAGGACTCGGTGGGAGAAACACTAGCAAAAAGGAAAGAGAAACAGAGAGATAGAAGGAAAGAAGGAAAAGTAAAGGAAAAAAGAAGAGGGACCAGAAACACAAGGAAAAAAACAATCACTTCAGATTCCAAAGGAGGAACATTGTCATGAGAGACGGTGGGCAGCATCTGATGCCAGGCAAACCCCTCCAGGATGGAATCCCCCAGAACAGGGACCACGTCTCTATTGTCCTCTCAGAGCGAGTATCCAGGGGCAGCCTCTGTGCTTGTGTTTAACGTCCCTAGCACTTCCTTCTCTCACTGTCCCCTCTGCCCTTGCTCTCTCTTTCTCCAGCCTTCTCACTCAGCCTGGGAAGAGCTTTTAATTCTTCCTTAGCAGGCAGGCAACTGCCTATACAGCCTCCCTTCTCAATGACTTATAGTAAAAATTGCACACTCAGTTCTCCAGGTTTCTGTTCACTGAAACCTGTAAGTCCTTTATTTTTACTACGAAGCCTGATTCTCAAAGTGAAAATCTGCATCTCAATTCTGTTTCTGCTTTGCTCTCCAAAGAGTCAGAGCCGTATGTAGCCTTCATCTGAGACGATGATGTTCCAGCTTCAACGCTGAGGAGACACAAG